CCCCACTTCTCCCCGGTACGTCTGTCCGTCTGTCCGTGTCCCCCTCCCCCAGCCCCTTCCCGTCCCTCTCCGTCCCCTCCAGCGGCAGCCTCCGAGCGCCTCCTCTCCTCTCGGTCTCGAGCTTCCAAAGAGCAAGGAAGGGAAGAAGAGTGAGAGGGAGAGGGGAAAAAAAAAAAAAAAAAACACAACCAACCCAGCAGCATCGGAAATCGATGCACTTACACCTCAGCTGGAAGCAGGGACGGGAGTCGAACCGCGGCCGCCGAGCCGCGCGAGGCGGGAGGGGAGGGGGCGGCTCTTGCAAGGGACTTCTCCGATGTGTTGATTCCTTTTTTCCCCTCCTCCTCCCTCCCTCCAGCGCTCGCTCCGGGGCGTCAGGGACGGAGATGGAAAAAAAATAAATAAATAAATTCACGGCGGTGAGGGAAGTGAAGGAAAATAATCAATGCTATTTGGCTGCGGCTGAAGTGTTTTCCCGGCTTCGTGAGGGGGTTTCCATTGATTCACCCTGGGCACTCGCTCGCTCCCTGCCTCCTCCTCCTCCTCCTCCTTCTCCTCCTCCTCCTCCTCCTCGCCCTCCTCCTCCTTGCCCTCACTCCTCCGCCTCATTCACTGGCTGGAGCCGAGGCGTCCCACACAATGGAATAATCAATACCCAGGCGCCCGGGGCGGCCCCACTGAGCAGGTGCAGCAGCCTGTCCGCCGCGGTGCGTGCCGGGAGTTGTAGTCAGCACGCCCCCTCCGCCCCCCCCCCCATTCTCCTCCCCCCCCCCCCCCCCCTCCTGCCCCAGGTATGCTTGCGCAGGGCCTCGCTGAATCCTGGTTCAGGGCCAGGACCTGCTGGCTACCCGTGTCCAGGGTAGCTCCAGGCGGGCTTTAGGCCTGCCCGCTCTCGGCAAAGAGGGAATCTCGTTTTCTGTCCCCTCCTCCTCCTGCCTACAGAAACCATACACGTGTTTTAGATCAGCTTTGAAACAGGCTCTAGCTTAACAGCTTCCCAAAGCTATTAGAGGTCCACTCCCTTCTGCCTTACTCCCCCTTCCTTCCTAGTGGGTACTAGAACCTTCTCTCAGCCTTCCTAGTGGGTATTAGAACGTTCTCTCAGCAATTATTCTCCCCCCCCTCACCCCCCAGGGCCTGAATTCTGGGCCTGGGCACTGTCCCTCAGCTCTTCAGCGCTAGGCTAGCGCTCTACCACTTGAGCTGAAACACCACTTCTGGCTTTTTCTGCTTTTGTGGTGCTGAGGAATCGAACCCAGGGCCTCATGCATGCAAGACGAGCACTCTACCACTGAGCCACCTTCCTAGCCCCCCTCCCTTTTTTTGTCCATCGTGGGGCCTGTCCTCAGCTCTTCAGCTCAAGGCTAGAGCTCTACCACTTGAGCCACAGCACCACGGAGATAAGAGTTGCACAGACTTTTCTGCCCTGGCTGGCTTTGAACCATGATCTTCAGCTCTCAACCTCCTGAGTAGCTAGGATCTCAGGATTTCACTGAGCAGAAGGCCTGCTCAGCAATTACTCTTAAATCTTCCATCACCGATTCACAAAGTCATCCGAGTTGGGGCTGGGAAAGTGAGAAGGTGAGTTTCTGGTCCCTCCTATTCAGTTTATCAGGAATGATGAATATGATGATGATGATGATGGTGGTGGTGGCCAGTTCTGGGGCTTGAACTCTGTGCCTGGGCGCTGTCACTGAGCTTTTTTTTTTTTTTTTTTTTGTCGGTCATGGGCTTGAACTCTGGGCTTGGGAGCTATTCTTCAGCTCTTCAGCTCAATGTGAGTGCTCTGCTGCTTGAGCCACAATGCCACTTCTGGTTTTCTAGTGGTTTATTGGAGATAAGAGTCTCATGGATTTTCCTGCCTGGGCTGGCTTTGAACCATGATCCTTAGATCTCAGCCTCCTGAGTAGCTGGGAGTACAGGTGTGAGCCACCGGCACCTGGCTTCCCTGGACTTCTTTTATTCAAAAGTGAGCGCTCTACCACTTGAGCCACAGCACTACTTCTGGCTTTTTTTTTTTTTTAGTAGTTTATTGGAGTCTCATAGCATTTCCCTCCTGGGACTGGCTTCCAACTGCGATCCTCAGATCTCAGCCTCCTGAGTAGCTAGGATTACAGGCCATTAGCGACCAGAGCCTGGCTAGGGCTCTATATTCTAAGAACAGCAACATTTTGAAAGATTTACTGACTGTACAAGTACAGTTTTAAGCACTTTTACATATATTAATGTATTATGTTCTGGGACCTGAACTCAGGCCTGGGCACTGTCCCTGAGCTTTCTTGCTCAAGGTGAAAGCTTTACCATTTGAACCATACCTCCACTTTCAGCTTTTTTGGGTGGTTTATTGGAGATAGCAGGCTGGCTTCAAACTGCAATCCTCAGATTTCAGCCTCCTGAGTAACTAGGATTACAGGTATAAGCCACTGGTGCCCAGCCTTAAATTCTACTTCTTTTATTTTTGTCAGTTGTAGGGCTTGAACTTGGCCTAGGTGCTGTCCCTCAGCTCTTCAGCTAAAGACTAGTACTCTACCAATTGAATCACAGCATCACTTCCAGTTTTCTGAGTGGTTTATTGGAGATAAGAGTCTCACAGACTTTCCTTCTAGGGCTGACTTTGAACCTCAATCCTCAGATCTGAGCCTCCTGAGTAGCTAGGAATACAGGCGCAAGCCACCGGCACCCTTATTTTTTGTTTTATTTTTTGTTGGTTGTGAGGCTTGAATTCTGGGCCTCAGTGTTGTTCCTCAGCTCTTCGGCTAAGGCTAGTGCTGTACCACTTGAGCCACAGCTCCACTTCCAGTTTTCTAGTGGTTTATTAGAGATAAAAAGTCTCATAGACTTTTCTGCCTGGGCTGGCTTTGAACCATGATCCTCAGATATCAACCTCCTTATTAACTAGGATTACACAGGCATGACCACCTGTGCCTAGCTCCTACTTTTTTTTTTTTGGGTCCGGTCGTGGGGCCTGAACTCTGGGCCTGGGTGCTGTCCCTCAGCTCTTCAGCTCAAGGCTAGTGCTCTACCACTTGAGCCATAGCACCACTTCCAGCTGTTTTTCTTTTTGCTTATGTAGTGCTGGGGAATAGAACCCAGGGCCTCAGGCATGCAAGGCAAGCGCTCTACCACTGAGCCACCTTCCCAGCCCTGCTCCTACTTCTTTTAAACAACAAAATTTGACCTTGGGGTTTGGAAGAAAAACAAATATTTTGAATTTCTACTTATCTGGCACCAGTTTATTACTAAATTCTAACACATAACTGTAAGGCAATCCACATTTTACCACTGAAAAAGCAGAGCAGGGCATGGAGTTGTCTGCCCAAAGCTCAACATCTAGAAAGTGAAGCTGAGAGTCCAGCCCCCATCTGTCTGTGGAGTCTAGTCTTTCCATTCCATTAAACTGTTGTTTTGGCTCTACTGAATTGGACCTTATATAATAGGGGAAAATAATGTTTTCCTGGTTTAACAAAACTGGAGAGCAAAGGATGGATGAAATGCAGGCCAATGAGAGGAGGTAGGGTTCAGATCTATTTGCTTCCTGCTGTATGATGCTGTGCATGGGGCAGTGGTAGGATATATCTAATTCATCCCATTAAAGATGCTATGTCTATAAGTTAATGGCATACCCATTGATCAAGTGCTTGAGTGAGGGCAGGTATGAGAACTGGAGGGGTGGCTCAAGAGGTACAGCTGGTATGGGGAACCTGGCACTTCTCACCAATCATGGAGACAATACTTCACCCAGAGGATAAGACTCAGTTAAGGCCTAGGGATAACAGTCCTCAAATGTAGTAAGGATAATGAGTTTTCTCTATTTGGACATCCCCATTTCTGTTAAATAAATATTGAATATTTCTCCTCCTACAAAAACTGCTCAGACTGCTAGAAACTGACAAACCTTTCACTCATTCATCCAAACCATTTTCCAGCTTCCAATTTTATTTATAGTCACATCTAGTTACATATTGGCTAGGGTCTCTTCAGTTTCTGGGATTTTACTCTAATTTCCTTCCTGTCTTCATCCAGGTCTCCAACTGTTGAAATTCCACTATCTTTAATTCCCTAGCAGAATCTCTCTTTTTTTTTTTTGTCGGTCATGGGGCTTGAACTCTGGGCCTGAGCGCTGTCCCTCAGCTCTTCAGCTCAAGGCCAGGGCTCTACCACTTGAGCTACAGCGTCACTTCCGGTTTTCTGGTGGTTCATTGGAGATAGGAGTCTCAAGGTCTTTCCTGCCCGGGCTGGCTTTGAACCGCGATCCTCAGATCTCAGCCTCCTGAGTAGCTAGGACTATAGGCGTGAGCCACCGGTGCCCAGCTCCCTAGCAGAATATCTCTGATCATAAAGTTTACCACCCAGACATACTCTGAACATTTTATCAGGAGGTATTAGATTCCCTCTGAAACTCTGGAATAGCTACACTGGACTCAACCAGTCAGCCCTTGCCAATGGCCTGCACTTAAATAGGCATCCATAAATTGCAGTGTCAAAGTCGGGGACTGGTATGTCATGCCTGTAATACTAACTACTCGAGGCTGAGATCTTCAGGTCACATCTCAAAGCCCAGGCAGAAAAGCCTGTGAGGCTCCCACCTCCAATAAGCCATCAGAAGTGAAGCTCTGGCTCAAGTGCAAAAGACGATCAGGGACAGCGCTCAGGCCCTGAGTTCAAGCTCCAGGACCGGAGCACACGCGCGCGCGCACACGAACAAAATTAAAAATGCAATGTTTGAGTAGCTTGTGTTTCAGGCTCACTATGTTGGAAGAGGCTGGAGACAGGGGCCATAGCTCCTTGTTAAACGAATTTCCTCTCTACTCTGCATCCCCAGTTTAGCTTTGGGTAGAGTCCCGCTGGCACTAATTGCAGCTTTCCGGTCACCATAGCGACGGGTGGGGAAAGCGTCGACTGCTCCCTTAGAACTACATCTCCCATCATGCAATGCATCGGACCTTAGGCTACCGCGCTAAGGCTAGGTCCTGAGACCCCGGCCGACTCCTGGGCTTCTGGAGGTATCGAGGCTGAGAAACAGAGATCAAGAAATGTTCTCGCTCGCCAGCCCACCGCGGGGGTGGCGGTCACCCAGTAGTTCTCTCGGACCTGGCCTACCCTCGGCACCAGCACAACGGGCCTAATATGGCCGCTGGTGCTGCGACTGGCCAGGCGCTCGGAGAGCCGAGCTGAGTTCCGGGGCCAGGGACTACTCCCGGCATTCCTCGCGGGTGTGGCGTGGGTTCCCCTCCCCCATCGCGGGTCCCGCGAGAGGGAGCCCCTCGAGCTTTCAGGTGAGACCCGAGCTCCTGCCAGCCAGTGCGGTGGCGAGGGAGGCAGGGGCGGGTCATCCTGGGTAACTACTCATCCTGGGTTGGCCTCCTGGGCGGTGAGGTAAAGGGAGCGTGGAAGGGCAATCTGCCACACGGCCTGCTCTCTAGGGAGCCTTTTGGATGGGGAGATCACCAGTAGTGGAAAAAGATTGAACGGAATACCTGTCACTGCTACCGTATCCTAAAAGCTCACAAACAGGGCCTGTGTCGCGACAGAGAACGCTCTTGAGATAAGTGTGTGCCTCCTAAGTTCATCCAAGGCTGGAGAGACAGGGCTTTGCTAAGCAGCTGCCATTCAGGGAATGTTTGTTGCAAATGTGGGTTTGATGATTGATTGCAGATATTTATTGCAGGTAACATGGCCCAGGGCTTGATTGAAGTAGAGCGAAAGTTCGTGCCAGGGCCTGATACAGAGAAACGTCTGCAGGAGTTGGGGGGCACCCTGGTACATCGGTTTACCTTCCGAGACACGTACTATGACACCACTGAGCTGAACCTCATGCGATCTGACCACTGGCTGCGACAACGAGAGGGTAGCGGATGGGAACTAAAATGCCCTGGAAAAGCAGCCATCCCAGGACCTCATACTGAGTACATAGAACTCACATCTGAACCTGAAATTGTGGCCCAGCTCCGTGAGCTGCTGGGCGCCGAAGAGCTGGGGGCTGGAAGTGTGGCTGCTGTGTTGGGTTCCCTGGGGCTGCAGGAAGTAGCTAGTTTTGTGACTAACCGAAGTGCCTGGAAGCTGATGTTCTCTGGAGCTGAAAAGGAGCCATTGCTCAGAGTAGACTTGGATACTGCTGACTTTGGCTATGCTGTGGGTGAAGTAGAGGCCCTGGTACATGAGGTGGCTGAAGTCCCAGCTGCTCTAGAGAAGATCCTCAGCCTCAGCAGCATGCTTGGTGAGGGTGACAGGCCCTTCTGGCATAACTTTGCTCCCTTTTCCTGGGCAGCACTTACTGGACCATATAGTGACAGGATTCTTTCTTTTTTCAGTGCCTTTGGTGGGGCTTGAATGAAAGGCCTTGCACTCTTACTTTGGCTCAAGGCTGGTGCTCTGCTTCCTGTTTTTTTGCTGGTTAATTAGAGATACTCTCATGGACTTTTCTGCCTGGGCTGGCTTTGAACCCCGATCCTGTCTCCTAAGGAGATCTGTCTCTTAAGGAGCCACTGACACCCAGTTTCTGGATTACCTTTATCACAGGATCTGTTAAAGCAATTTCCTCAAGAACCTAGTTTGCTTATAATTCTATCAAATCCAGTTTCCCTGCTTAATTTGAAATTAATGCTTCCATACCTTCATTCTAGTTATTCTGTCTCATTTAGTTCTCATACTTCTAGCCAGGTCTCCTTCAGTTCCATGTATTGATTCCCCGCTTTGACCCTTCCTTCCCCAAACTTTTATTCTTAGGTTCTCTCTTTCCTTCTTTCTTTCCTTTCTTTCTTTCTCTTTCTTTCTTTTCTTTCTTTCTTTCTTTCTTCTTTCCTCTCTCTCTCTCTTTTCTTTTTTTTTAAGAATCTTGCCATGTAGCTATTCAGGCCTTGAATTCAAGTTCCTACTGCCCAGCCTTCTGAGTGCTGTCATTACAGGTGTGCACCACCATACCTAGTTCTCCTTTTGCTCTCCTTTGGGTAACAGGCCAGAAACTGCATTTATGTGAGACAGTTGGGTAAGCTTTAGCAGATTTGTTTTATTGTTCCCATACTTAGTTCCCTTGTAGACCACTTATCCACACAAGTATGGGGTTGTATACCTCACAGGGCCTGACAGCTGTAGGATACTGTTTTGAGTTTTTCTAGTAACCATACAGAGTTTCAGAGGTGAGAATTCCCACCCCACAGCTCCAGCTGCTTCTTTACTTTTTATGTAAACTTTGGTTCCTTTGTGTACATCACTGCGGTGCTTCATTACCATGCTAATGAGCTTTGGCTTGCCTAGATAGGCTTTAATCTTGGTTGTAGGATAGGTGATAAATGAGACATCCTGTCTTCAGGGTGCCTGGGTATGTCTTCACAATTTCTCCTTTGCTGAGGCTAGGCTTCCCAGACACTCCTACTCAGTGGCTCTCTGTGAGGTCTCACCTCTATAGTCTCCTGAGGGAGTGGACAGGTTATAAAAGCTGGTTGAATGCTGGGTACCCGTGGCTTATGCCTGTAACCCTAGCTACTCAGGAGGCTGAGATCTGAGGATTATGGTTTGAAGCCAGCCCAGGCAGGAAAGTCCATGAGACTCTTATCTCCAATTTAACAGGAAAAAGTCAGAAGTGGAGCTGTGGCTCAAGTGGTAGAGTGCCAGCCCTTAAGCAAAAAAGCTAAGGGACAGTACTGGCACACAAAAAAGCAGCAGGTTGGATGGTATTTAGAGTATCAGGGCTGCCTTCAAAACAACTTTGGGATCCTGGCTGAATGGGCGGACAGCCTAGTAAAAGCACATTCAGTGGCCCCTCCATTGGCTTCTTTCCTTACTGTTCTATTGCCTGCAGGTGTGCCAACACAGGAGAAAGCACCTGCCAAGCTCATCGTGTACCTACAGCGCTTCCGGCCAGAGGACTATCAGCGCTTGCTAGAACCAACACTTTCAGAGAAGCCACGAGGGGCTAAGCATTCGGACAGGAGCCTGGACTACAATGTCACTTCCTAGAAGGGGATGGGAATTCTGGGTCTTGGTGGCACACATCTGGGCTCACTGTGCCAGATCTCTTTCAACAGGGCCTCCTCTCTGTCAACTCTGCCTGTTCTTTCACCCTCTCCTCAGCTACCCTTCCTAAAGCTCTCCCTGGCTGCTGCTTCTCCCTCATCCGTCAGATGCAATCTGTGGGCCGCCCCTCTCCCCTGGCCGCTAAGCAGCCTCCATTGATTTCCGCTCGTGTTTATAGGATTTCCACTTAGCCGTGATCAGTAGTTAAGCACAGGAAAATCCCTTGCCACCCCCCCTCCCTTGGTCGATGCCATTGATTCTGCCAGCGGCTCCGAAACTGCCTTACAGCTGAGTTGGAGATGAGGGGAGGCAGTAGGGATTTCCCTGCCTTGGGAGGTAGGGAATAACAGCAAGGTAGGGGAATTGGTTGGAAATTCCTGTTATGAATCCAGAAATTCTGTTTTGATATGCTAGTAGGCCTAGTCCTGATCCAGAGAGAAGTGCTTCCTGTGGCACTTTAACCGCAAATTTATTTCCTGACCCAGAGAGGGGCAGAGAGAAAACCATTGTTAAGACAATTTCCCAAGGTTCCAGAAGGACTCATACTTCTGCTTGCATCAGGAACCTCTTTGCCCTTGCAGTTATTCATATACATTTTCCATCTCAAATATACTGAAATGTGGCTTTCTACTTCCCTGTGGCTTTATTTGGCTTTCATTATTTATGGGGGAATACAGACCTTCCCCCCACCCCCACAGTTTTGCAGTGGTAAATGCAGGGACAGAGTGCCACCTGCTGGTGGCCCACAGGTAGGTTCTTAGTTGCTGAGGCCCCAGGGTTCCAGGGATGAGAACAGATAGTTACTGCCATGTCTCCACAGGCAAGTTGTTCACTTCAAAGATCTCCTGCACTGAATGGCCAAGGTGGTTGTAGGTGAGGCGTAGCTTTAGCCGCAAAGGGGCCTAGGAATGGGAGAGCAGAGACCAGGGTCAGTTCCCCTCACTTCTTCCATCTTGTAGTCTTAGCCACAGAGCTCTGGAACTCACCTTGTTAGGATTGAGGATTTTGAAGAGCTGGGTGATGGGAAGGCCGCCCTGAGCTGGAACTGTGTTCCCACTTGGGGCCTGTAGCTGCAGCTGCAAACTCTTCACATGGGAGGTTTGGGCAGAGCACAGTAAGGCAGCTGATTGTCTGGGCTCAGACAACAACATCATACCCAGTAGTCTCCCCTCCCCCCCCTTTTTTTTTTGCCAGTCCTGGTGCTTGAACTTAGGGCCTGAGCACTGTCCCTGAGCTCTTTTTGTTCAAGGCTAGCACTCTACCACTTAAGCCACAGTGCCACTTCTAGCTTTTTCTGTTTAAGTGGTACTGAGGAATTCAACCTAGGGCTTCATGCATGCTAGGCAAGCACTCTACCACTAAGCCACATTCTCAGTCCCCCCAATCCCCTTCTAACTGCCCAAATGTACAAACACTCCTTTCCCATCTCATTCTGTTCCCCACACATGGTTCTTCTACTTGGTGTTTTTCCTTGGTGCTCCTAGACCACCTTGGAACCCTGATTTTTACAAACCTTGGGCACAGCTGCCTGACAGATGAAGTGGGTAACATCACCCCCTGAAGAGTTGGTGGTGGTGACAGTGATTAAGAGCAATGAAGGGGTTTCCGGGGGTCGAATGAATGACATATTGAGTTGTACTCCCTCACGCTCAAATACCTTGAGATTGGGAATGGGTGCTAGAGTGGGGAAAAAGAGGCAGATCAGTGTGCAGGCTTGACATAACCCATTCATTCACTCAACAAAAGGAGTAAACATTTCTTGGCCCTGATGGCTAGTGACAAAGTAGACAAGAAGCTTAGGTTGGAGCTGACAGTCTAGGGGTAGAGAGGAGCAAATGACAAAAGGTGAAATTATCTGATTGTGATGGGTGCTAGGAGTGAAATAAGACAGAATAACTTGGAAGAACCTAGTGGTAAGGGAAAGCAGTTAACAGTTCAGCTGAAACCTTAAAATGAGCCAACTTCGAGGTGCTGATGGCTCCTGCCTATAACCCTAGCCATTCAGGAGGCTGAGATTTGAGGATCATAGTTTGAAGCCAGCCCAGACAGGGAAGTCCATGAGACTTTTTTTTTGGCGGTTGTGGAGCTTCAGCTCTGGGCCTGGGTTTTGTCCCCTGAGCTCTTCAGCTCAAGGAAAGCACTCTACCACTTTAGCTACAGTGCCATTTCCCATGGTTAATTGGAGGTAACAGTCTCATGAACTTCCCAGACTGGCTTTGAATTGCAGTCCTCAGATCTCAGCCTCCCGAGTAGCTAGGATTACAGACGTGAGCCACCAGCACCTGGCTGTGAGACTCATCTCCAATTAACCACCAGAAATTTGGAAGTGGTGCTGTGGTTCAAAGTTCAGGGACAGTACCCAGGCCCTCAGTTCAAGCCCCATGATGGACCAAAAAAAAAAAAAAAATCCCCCAAACAAAACCCCAAAGGACAAAGAAAACACTGAAGATTGTCCAGGAGGGGAAAGGCCTGATTGAACTTTTGCCTATGGAAAAGGGAATGGGAAGAAGGCATACAGATGGAAAAGACCTCAGTCCTTAGCTTAGATAAACAGTATCTAAGACATTTTCCCCTTTGCTAAGGCTTACCTGGGGGTAAAGGTACACAGGGAAGGTCAAGGAGGTTTACTAAGGCACCCTCTGGGGAAGGATCCAGAAGAGGAGGATGCTGTGTGTTCCCAGGAGTGCCATCCAGGAGATCTAGGAGATCCAAAAGCTTGGAGGCCTGGGGAAGAAACAGGGTCACAGGTGGGCATGGAAAAACAAGCAAATCTCTCACATCAGGGCTTCCAGCCTTCTCACCTGGGGCTCCGGAGGGGCAGGGGCTGCCTCCTCTAGAAGCTGGGCTGCTGTTTGCCTTTCCTTTGCTTCCTCTTCAACCTGAGCGCCACCTCGCTCCATGAGAGGCATCTTTTCAAGGATCGCTGCCCTGAGTGGGTAGAGTATAAGTGTTCCTCTGTGTGATCCCTGGGTCTTCACAAGAGGCATCCAGGATGAGGGGTTAAGAATACAGGGTATCCTGGGTATATACATAAGATAGCCTGCTCTTGTTTTTCAGATGAGCAAGGAGGCTGGGAGCCAGCTTAGCGTCAATGGGAGGTGAGCACCCTTGATACTAGAATGGGGCATTGGATTTTTTGTTTGTTTTTGTTCGGTCATGGGGCTTGAACTCTGGGCTTGGGCACTGTCCCACGGCTCTTCAGCTCAAGGCTAGCCCTCTACTGCTTGAGCCACAGCGCCACTTCTGGCTTTTTCTATTTATGTGGTGCTGAGGAATTGAACCCAGGGCCTTATGCATGTGAAGTAAGCACTCTACCACTGAGCCACCTTCCCAGCCCACATTGGATTTTTTGTTTATTTTGTTTTTGTGACTGCTGGTTCACAGGCTCAAACTCAAGGCCTAGGTGCTGCCCTTAGCTTTTTTTTTTTTTGCTCTAGGCCAGTCTTGAGCACTTGAGTACACATCTTAACTTCTGGCTTTTTGATGGTTAAGTGGAGATAAGAATCTCACAGATTTTTCTGCCCAGCCTGGCCTGGAACCACAATCCTCAGATCTGAGCCTCCAGAGCATCTAAGATTACAGGTGTGAGCTAGCAGAGCCTCGCTGAATTTGGGAAAAGGCAGGGGTTTGGGATTTGATGGACGCACCTCATGTGGTCATACTTTTGGAAGAGTGTGTTATACTCCACAGCCCGTTGCTGCAGCTCCACATCTAGGCAGCTCCCGTAGATAGACACCACCTTGCGGATGCGGCTGGGGCACAGCGTGGCATGTGAGTGGCAGTGGCCTTACCCTGCCCTTCCACTCCAGAAGGTAGCAGAGAAGGGAAACATGAGGATACACCCAAGATAATATGGCTCAAAAGCAAGAACCTAAGGACTGGAAAGGGGTCAGCATACAGGGAAGGAGTGTCTAGTGACGGCCCGATGAGCGCAGTGAAAAGTAAAGGGACTTCTTTCAGGGAGCTGGGGCCCCTTCTTACTTGTTGTCTCCCTGGAGCCTGGTGCTGAGCTTCATGAGCGCTGTGAGGGCATACCCTCGGGTGGCTGGCAGCGACATGTGGGACTGCAACACTGTTTCCAGTAGTGCCAAAATGTCCTCCTCTTCTACCTTTGGTGTGAAGAACAGGCATTGATCTCGGGTCTAGCCCTGCCTTCGTGACAGGTCCTCCTCACTGTGCCTCCCTGTAGAGGTTTCACCTGAAGCGGCTCAGTGTCCTCACAGTTTCCCTCCACCAGAAGGTCCCCATATTCCCCGATGCACCAGGCTGCCACCTGTACCAGTGGTTGCTGTGTGGGTATAGAAGCATTGCCAGATCAGTATCTGAGGGTCCCTTCCTCTTTCCCAGACCCTGCAACATTCCAGGCAGGAGGAGGGAACCTTTTTTCCTGCCAAGGGCCATTTGGATATTTATAACATTACACAAAATTCTCAGTATAGACAGATGGGCAGTGGGCTGCCAATGAGAAGCTAATGAGAATAAATGCCTGTTCACCATGTACTAAATGATTTCACAGGCTTTATATAGCTCACTATATGTTCCCCACCCTTGCAAGTTTAGGCAGTACAAAGATGGGAGCTGGCAGAGTAGGGGGGAAAATAGTTTACCTAGTGTCTGTACTCCTACTGCCACCTGGTGGTAAAGCATTACAACTACATAGCTTAACCCCATGAGGGAGAGTTGAGAGTGTCCCTCTCAAAAAAGAATGGGTTCTGCTGATTCTACTTAAGAGGGAAAAAAAGGGGGGGGTAATTGATATTGGCTGGCACCTGTTAATATCTATAGCATTCAGGATAACAGTAAAACCTCGCACATGCAACAAAGCTTCTTATCTATCTCATTTGGTCCTCCAGATAGCTTTAAGGATACAGGAGGACAAGACTGAGTTTATAAAGCCTATTAATCAGTTGGGGTTTCACAGCCAGTAGGCACCAGGAGTCCAGATGTTTTAATAAGAGGTCGACTCTGTCCTGGAGCATCTCCTGAACTAAGTCGACAGCTGTGAGGTAAAGGGCAACAGTTTAGAATCCAAGTAGGGAGGAGGCTCACAAAGGGCTGAGGGAGGCTGCACAGGCCTGGGGAGGTGGAAATGGCACCTGGGAGATATCTTCTGCCAGAGCACTGTATAGGCGGCGCACAGAATAGGCATGTAGCTCCTGGGCCCCCCCAATCAGCTGGGTCAGGTTGGCTACTGCATCATCCCGTACATGGGTGCCTGCCTAGGGGGTGGGAGAGGAGTATGGACATTAATATGGTGAATGCAGCTCACTCCCACCCAGTTCAGACTGGTCCCTGTCTCACCTTTGTCAGCACATGCAGGATGGTGTCTATGTGCCACCGCTTGGTTGGAGCAAATCTAGGGAACATTACTTATCAGTTCTGATATCAGAACACGTGTTCCTTCCCAGGCGGCACCCTCTGCTTCCTGGGAACCTGTCACCTCACCTCTCTGCAGCCAACAGGATACCTGAGGCACAATCAGCCCGTAGGTCAGGGGGACAGGATTCCAGAAAGGCCTGCAGTTCCTGCATCATGGCTCTCACATTGGAGCTATTCACCAGTGCCAAGCTCAGCTCCAGGGCCCGCCTGGCAGGAGAAAGGTGTCTATGCAGGTAGATGGAGTAACCTTGCTGTATGCCTCAGGCCCTCCTTTTGCCCAGGCAGTGATTCTTTTTAGCCTTTTTTTTTTTTATCCCCTATACCTCTGCTCACCGGCTGAGGGAGGCATCAGTTTCTTGCAGACATTCTACCACCACGGGCCGATGCCGCTGTACAGCGCTGTGATCTGACTGCACCAGCCGCAGCAATGATGTCAGAGCAACATACCTGGTCAAAGTAGAAAGGCATTATCACGCACAGAGCCACCTGCCCCAGTATCCTTGCCTGTACCCAGACCAGGAGTAAGAAGGCGTGGGATCAGGAGGGAGAAATGCAGAGGGTCAGTGGTACAACCTAGCCAGATATTGAGGATGACCATTACCTAATGTTCTTATCACTGTTGAGCAGGAAGCGGCCAAGAATGTTGACAGCTAGAACCTACAAGGGCCAGAAGGTGGGGACAGTCAGAGAAGAAGCAATCTGCTCATCCAGGAGACCACACAGCACAAGAGCACAAACTAGGGATGAGGGAAAAGCCAGTGCCCAGGCCTATGTCTGGCTGGGAGTAGGGGGTGGAGGTGAGGGATACCCGTAGGCCAGCTGCAGAGCGGATGTCCATGATTGTGAGTACTGTCTCAAACAGGACTGCACTGCCCGCATTTCGGCTAGTGTCTGTGTTGGTGGCCACCTGTAAAAAGGGAGAGCAGATGCATTTATGCAAGGCCCTGTTCTCACCTACCATTTCTTCTATCCATCTCTCTATCGTCTTAACAGAGTTCCCTGACACCCATTACATGCCAGGGCCAGACATGGAAGAGGGCAACAGCATGACAACACACTGTGTCTCTCCTTCCTGGAGTTCACTGGCTTGGGGTGGAGGGGACAGAGGGGTATTCATACAGCTGCTTTGTGGTTGAGTGGTCATGTGAAGGCCGCCTGAGTGAGTAGACCCAGAGCGATATGCTGAGGTTGTGCCCCTGCACCCAGCTCCCACCTGGGCCAACAAATCATTCATGGTCTCACTGCTTTCCTCGTGGTTCCGGCCCAGGATCCGAAGTAGACGAAGTATCTGGACCTGAGGGTGGGTTAAAGATGAAAAGGTAGAGGGGAGTTCACAGGACCAAGAGTTGTGGGATGAGGAGAAAAACCTAATGTTGAAGATGGCATTGTGAAGGGTTGGTCTGGCTAGTCCCTAGAGCCTCCTGCCCCTGCCTCTCACTTCTATAGGTCCCAGTGTCAGGAATATAAGGCCAGGCAGGTTTAGGAAAGGCATTTTATATTGTTCTCTTCCCTTCTTTCCATTAAAAAAAATTAATATACTTTCTGGGCCTGGGCACTGTCCCTCAGCTCTTCAGCTCAAGGCTAGCGCTCTACCACTTGAGCCACAGCACCACTTCCGACTTTTTTCTTTTTGCTTATGTGGTGCTGAGGAATGGAACCCAGGGCCTCATGCATGCAAGGCAAGTGCTCTACCACTGAGCCATCTTCCCAGCAAAATTAATATACTTTTGTCAGTTGTGGGGCTTGAATTTGGGGCCTGGGCTCTTTCCCTAAGCTCCTTCACTCAAGGCTAGCACTCTACCACTTGGAGCCACAGTTCCATATCCAGTTTTCTGGTGTTAATTGGAGATAAGAGTCTCACAGACTTTTCTGCCTGAGCTGGCTTTGAGCCACGATCCTTGATCTCAGCCTCCTGAGTAGCTAGGATTACAGGTGTGAGCCACCAGCACCCAGCTTCCTTCCCTTATTTTCTGACTTTCCCCTAATCCCACTCCAACCCCAGTCCTGGGACAACCAGGGCAATCTGGGATGATTGTGTGTGTGTGTGTGTGTGCGTGCGCGCGCATGCATGTGCACGTGCGCACGCACACTGCTCCTGGAACTTCTCAAGCTTGGCTAATGCTCTAACACTTGAACTATAGCTACACTTCTGACTTTTTTTTTTGGGAGGTGCTTATTTATGATAAGAGTCACAGACTTTGCTGCCTGATCTGGCTTCAAACCATGATCTCAGCCTCTTGGGTAGCTAGGAGTACAGGTGTGAGCCACCAGCACCAGGTAACCATGGCAATCTTGAAGTCACTCTCCTGCTCAAGACATTGACTGAGTCAGAGTATTTTGTGGGAGGTGACCACTGGCTATGGAGTTACTGCTAAGCCTTCTGTTTCAGGGATACAACAAGAAAAGCTCAGCCCACCTGCAGGAAGGGGTCGCTGACACCAGATATGCTGTGTTCTGTTGAGTATCCTGTTGTTACCAGAGTCCGGAGGATCTGTACCAGCTGGGGTACCACCTAGAGGGAGGCCCACATCCTTGCCTGGGCATTCCTCCTCTTCCTCTCAACATTAAGTCCCCCCATTCCTCTCCCACTACCCATATCTTTACCAGGCCCAGGGCCTGCCCCTTCACCAGCCCACCTTTCGAAAGTGCCTGAGGGCTTCAGGGCTTCGTTCGCAGAGCTCCATGATCAGCGTGATGGTACCCAACAGGACGCCTGGGGTCAGGGAGGGGAGGTGAATGGTAGGTTGGGGCCTGGGAGTGTCAACTGCATGTATGTTTGTGTGTATGCTAACCTTGTCCTATGAGCTGGTGCTCCTGACCTGTGTTTTGCTTCTGGTCTATGGCCAGACCTAAAGCAGAGTATGGGGAACCCTATGGCCTTACCGTGGTGGCGCTCATGAAGCAGTTTGGCACAAGGTGGCAGGAAGATGTTGGAAAGTTCTGGGACCTTCCGGATCATGTGCACTGCAGTCAGAATAGCCTGCAGAGGTCAGAGGCCTCAGACAGAGCAGGGAGGTCCAACAGGCTGGACTCCTCAACTTCACTGTATGGCAGACCAGGGAAGTTTCCAGAGAGGCAAGAGTTGTGCATCTCACCTTCTTGCGCACATAAGGGCTGGGTTGTAGGAACAGCTTCTCCACCTCCGTGGCCAGATCCCGGCACATTTCAACAGAGCCCATAGTGCACAGAGTACACAGGGCCAGGCCTTGGATTGGCTGAATCCCTTGGCTTAGGTCACTGCAGGGTTGGGAGGATGGTTAGTTGTGCCTCTTGAGAAATCTCCTTCTTCCCAGCATCTGCACCAGGCAGCCCCTTAGAATTTTACAATGCCCCACTCTCCCATCTCCCTGATTTCAAGTGACCCAGAACCCTCTCACTTCTTGATGCTGTTGGTAATGAGCAGGTGAGCATCGTGCCTCTCATCCAATAGAAGCATGGCCCCCAGGTAGCCCACCCTCTTGTCTGTGAATCTGGGGGAGGCGATCAGTTTCAGGCACTCCATCTACAGGGAAGGGGAGTAGACCCAGAAGGTCAGGGGTGAAACCAGAGTCACTAACATCCCTGTTCCATTCTCCTCCCTCACCTCTGGTTGCGGGGCACCACATCCCATCACTTTCTCCTCAACCAGAGAAGCTTAGGAGATTCAGGCACCAGTGGGTGGTTTCAAGGATCTAGGAGTGGAGGATGGGAGAAGCGAGGAGGTGCCCTCCACGGAGCTAACCAGAAAATAAAGGGTTTGGGGGCAGCTGACCAATAAAGGTTGTAATGGGCTGTAAAAAGGTTTTCAGGGCCAGGCGCTGGTGGCTCAGGCCTGTAATCCTAGCTACTCAGGAGGCTGAGATCTGAGGATCGAGGTTCAAAGCCAGCCCAGGCACGAAAGTCTGTGAGACTCTTATCTCCAATTAACCACCAGAAAACCAGAAGTGGCGCTGTGGCTCAAGAGGTCCAGTGCTTGCCTTGAGCTGAAGAGCTGAGGGACAGTACCCAGGCCCAGAGTTCAAGCCCCACAACCGAAAAAAAAAAAGGGGGGGGGTGGAGGGGTGTTTCACAGTACAGTGTGAGGGTTTAGGAGTTGTAGAACGAAAACAACGGGGCACAAGAGGGTCCACGACCATGTCCCACTAGTGTTCCTCAAGCTCCAGAACAAGGTATCTGGGGCTGGTACCTGTCCAAAGTGGGCGGGGTAGCCTAACATGTGGACGTAGAGCAGTTTGGCCAGCTGGCGGTGCCTCTGCAGAGGGTCTCCATCGCGGAAGGACGCCCGAATGTGGGCGCACTCCTTCTGGATCACTTCCCGCTCCTGGGCCTGTGTCTTGGCCCCGCGAATCTCCTCGATGAGGTCCTGAAGCGTCAGCGAAGGGCCCACCATCCTGCGGGCAGCGCCCGGGAGTGGGAAGGGCTTTATCCCTTTCTCGCAGATGGCCGAGCCCTGCCCTGTGCAAAGATCTCAAGGACGCGGAACCCACCCGCTAGCTTAAAAGTGAACCCACGTTCACTGGCCCCACCTAGGTCTCACATCTCATCCCCATCTCACGCCCAAAGGAGTCCCCACTACGCATGCGTCCCCGACTAGGCGCCCACGCCTGTTCCCGCGGAGCATGCGCCAGAGCCCCGCCTATTTCGTCTTCCCCCTTTCCTTCCCGAACCTGGTATCCCATCCTCAACTCTGCCAATCCTTTCCTCCCAGGACCCCGAGCGATGACTCCTGCGCGATCCCGCCCCGCAATCGCAGGTCGGGACGGCACCAGTTTCCCCGCCCCGGGACGCCTCACCTGGCTTCGTTCTCTACTCCGCTCCAGTACCCCCCAGCGCTTCCTGGTTTGGGGCTGCTCGGGGGGGTTGGGCTTGGTCGTGTCCTTCCTTATCCCCGCCCATACCACGGGGCCCCGCCCTGCCTGGGTCGCCCTACGGAGCCGTCTGGAGTTGTCTGACCTTCAGCCCCAGGCTTTGGCGCATTGGGGAAAAAGCTGTCTTAAATAGCCATTAGGCTGGTGGGACAGCAGGCCTACAGCCCCCCTTCCCCCCTCCCGCCCCCCCCCCCCCGAGGCTTCCTGTTACCCCCACACCATCTGGAGAGCCCAGAGAGCTTGGGTTGGAAACCATCGCACTCCAAAGGAGATGACAATCTCCCACCCTTTTTTTTTTTTTTGAACTTTTTTATTAATATATTTTTTTTTTGTTAAATTTCTTTGTATTTTTTTTTTCCTGCAAGACTTGGTGTTGGCGGCACTGTTGTATAACTTCAATCCCAAATTCCATGAAATAGAAATCAGAAGTAAAGGTTGAGAGGGGAGGAAGGAGGGAGGCAGGCCAAGGAGTTAACAGAGTTTGGACTAGAAAAAAAAGAAGTGGGTGTGTATGGTGGGCATTCCTGGGCTGGGCCATTCCGTGAGGGAGGGGGTTGGCAGGCAGCTGGCCTCTGCCTCATGCAGGGGAGGGAGAAATGTTCCCCTGGGGACTCTACAGTCCCCTTTTCCTAGGGCTTCCTGTCCCCAGGGGAAAAGCTAGTACCAGAGATCAGCCACATCCTGGTACACACACCTTCAAATAAGACCTCTCTTCTGATCTTTGACTCCCACCTCTGCCCTGTCTGGGAAGTGTAGTGTTGGAGACATCAGCTTCCTTTGATCCTTTCTAGGTTGTTTTCCCATTTCACCAGATTTTAACGTGATGGGGGAAACCCACTGGGAGACTAGTAGACTTGCCACAGCTGCTGCTGTTGCTGCCCATCCAGCTTCTCTTATCATTCCTGGGTCCATCTTTCAGAAATACCTTCCCCACCACAGCCACCAGAGCTGGGAATGGTGCCCTGGCTCAATGCCTCTAACCCTCTGCAGTAGATGTGTCTTCTTCTGGCCCCTTAGGAATTTAATCAAAGGCCACAAGTGAGTCCAGACCACAGAAGCATAGAGGTCAGTGGTAGAATCTGAGAGGGGTGGGCTTGGCTGTATTGAATACTTTTGTTCCTCTACACATTGCTCTTGGCATGCCATGGCATCCTCAGTGGCCATCCTTGGGGTTCAGAAGAGGGATTGGCTACTGAGGAAAGAAAGGGAAAGTCTAGGGAGTTTATTCCATTGTTCACTTCCCTTTACTCCCCAGAAAAGGTTCAATTTAGGCAAGAACCTAACTGGGTCCTGGGAGGTGAGATAAAATCCTCCAAGGTAAGGGTAAAGATGGCTCCTCCAGCTTTTCATTTGGGCCAGGAAACTACAGGGGCTCAGCTAGTACCTAGTCCTGCATTCAATTAATCCTTCTCCATTTTCTTCCTCCACTCAGGAGACTCCTCAGGATACCAACCCCCCACCCTCATCAAAGTTTAGGTTTAAAGAAACGTTGGGGAGGGCATGGGGGCAATGGTCTGACTTAGATTTGTATGCCTCAGAGAAGAAAGCAACTCTGAGAGAGAAAAGCCCTTCATATGTAAACAATCTAGAGAAAGAAGGGGATGGGGTAGAGAAGGGAGCAAGGAAGACAGATCCAGAATAAATGAGATAATCCAAAAGAAGAAAGGGAAAAAGTAAGACAAAAATAAAGGGGCTCAGAAAAGAAAAGATGGAGAGAAGGAAAGATAGGAGAAAACACAACCAGGAGGAGGGAAAGAGAAAAAGGCAGGTCAAAGGGGGTAGAGAGGCAAGTGACCAAGCCAGAAAGAGGCCAGGAAGTTGCCTCAGGTGAGGAGCTGGGAGAACAGGAATGCCAGGCTGAGGTCCAGGAGGGCCACGGCTCCCACCACCAGGGGATTGGCAGCTCCCTAGAGAGAGACAGGGAAAAGCAGTCTCAGTCCCTGAAGACCAAGTCTCGTCTAAGTTCCACCTACTGGCCCTGGCTTTGTTGGCAAAGCTGAAGGGCCCTGTATACCTCTGTGTACAGCCAGAGCAGGGCAGTCTCTGATCTTTGTTTCAGATTGCAAAACATCCTCTTCTCCCAGGCAGGGCCCCACCTTTGCTCTGGTACTCTCAAGATAGGGACAGCCCTTCCCCCACCATTCTCCTCCCACCAGCACATCATGTGGGCAAGGCAGAAGGTGCCTGGCCTTAGTAGCAGACATTGGCAGCAGCAGCCCATACTGCAGTAAGGCAGAGGGATGAAGGGTGAGGATGTGGTTGCTAGGAGACAGGAGAAGGCTCCAGACCAATCAGAGCAGAGAGTTCTGAGGAAACTCCACCTTTCTCAGTTTTCTGCTCTCTCCACTCCTCCATTTCTCTTCTTCCCAGAGAGGGAGGGAGAGTGAGGGTAGGGAGGGAACAATTTTTTCCTTTTTTTATTTCTGGGCACCAAAGACAGAAAGTGCGGAGGTGGGGGTGGGGGTGGAGTAGGAAACTGGGAGCTGAAAATGATATGGAAAGAGAACAGGAAAAAAAAATGTTCTGATTCTACCATTAATTATTAGTTTGTAACCAGGGGCAAGACACTCTTAAGTGCTCTGGACCTCAGTTTCCCCACTATCATATGAGGGAGTTGGACTTGAAGGTCTCTAGGGTTCTTTCCAGCTTGAAAGTTTCCTTTTTTTTGAAGTGGGATATTGTCCAAAGCTGACCAGGCAGAGCAAGCTGAGTCAAAATTAAAGCCCCCCAGGAGATCAGACAGAGGTCTAAAAAGAGTGGGAGGCAAAGCTTTAAAAAGAGGGCACGAAGAGGGGAAAAAGGGGTATCTCACCGGCTGGGCAGGCCTCTCAGTTGCAGCAGGCTCCTCCAACTCTTCGGTCAGGCACCCAGCATCAGGACCCCTTGAGGATGGGTCCCTCAGGACCGGTGTGGTGACAGGCTCAGACTCCAAGCCCCCTGGGCCCCTCAACTTGGGCAAGGGCTCTTCATCTTCCCCTTCCTCCTCTCGAAGGCTTACTGAACTGTCGCTGCAGCCTCCCAGGAGTGGGGATCCATCTCTGGGCCCTAGCCTCTGCATTCCAGCCTCGTCCTCAGCCTCATAGCCAGCTAGTTCTTCTACCTGTTCGCCTGGCCCCCCCCACTCCTCAGGCCAAGATTTGGGGCTGGAGAAGGGACCCCAGTCTCCTCCAGGAGGCAGTGGACTGCGGCAGGCAGGGGGTCGCCAGGGTTGGCGGGAGGAGGCAGGGCTGCTGGGTAGCTCAGGAGAGCCCTCTGAGGGGGTCAGTCCATTCTCGTAAACCCCGGGGCTGTCCTCATCCAAGGGCTCTGTGTCGGAACCTTCTGAATCCTGCCTGGGTCTGCGGCCTAGGCAGGAACAGCTAAGAATCAGTGGGGCCTCAATAACTGGAGACTTAGAGAGCTTGAAGCTTTACCCTGATAAGTATCTTTCAGGACTTTGGTACCCCAAACCTCCCATCACCCTAACTCATAAGTTCCCAGGACCACTCCCCAGACAACTAGGCTTGACCCTACCCTCTACCCTTTGACCTTTCCCAGTCCCTAGAACCTTAGGGAGCTTCCCACCCCTTCTTCATGCATGAACCTCTCTAGATCCCCAGAGGCTTTTCTTTTCCCTAGGATGCCCACACCTTACCTGGGGCCTCTAGCATGGGCTGTAAGTCCTGGGCTATCAGTTTGGCCATCCGTGCTGCCTCCACAGCCTTCTCAGCGACACTGCTGGCTGCCACTGCTTTTAGGAGAGCATCTGCTGCCCTGTCAGGCCCCAAGGATAAGAAATTAGAAAGTCTTCCCCCATTTTAAATAAGCACTTGCTCAGATGCTCCATCCCTCTCCCCATACTCCTACCATATTCTTCTGCTGTGAGTTCACCTCTGGAGTCCTCAGCCTTCCTTGCTCTGCCTGCTGCTCCCCTCCCAGGCAGGCCAGGCCACCATCCCCTTTAGTTTCCCCTTTCAGACCTGAGCTGTTTGCTGTAATCACACCTTCCAGCTTCTCTCACACTTTTCTGTCCTTGCATACTGTAGTAACACTTCCTTCTTCCAGCCTCAGGGCCAGGTGCTGCTTGAACTGTTATTCCATTGCTGTCCTGCTCTTTGCCCCAGTGAAACTGGAGCCTTCCTCCGTTTAGCATGTACTCTGTAGTACCTCTTGGAATTTTCAGTAATGCCTACTGCCTGCTTTGCAGTACTCTTCTGTTGTCAAGGCCTCCAGAGCCCCCTGGAGTCACATGCCTTCCGGTGGGGTTCAGGGTGCTATCCTGTTACCTTGATCTTGTCCTAGCAGTTTCACCTCTCCCCAACCTAGTTGTTCTCAGCTACCCCCTCTTTTCCCCTTTCTACTGTCAGCCCTCTAATTTAATCCTACCTCTTCTAGTATAGAAGAGTATTATCTGGCCTCTCCTTTGTCACTGCCACTGTTCCCTGACCCTGTGGCTCTGGAGTTGGGAGTAGGGCTGGGTTGTCCCTTTTACAATGATCATAGTCCCTCTCTTTACCAACATGCTTTCTCAACATGGTGATTATACCTTCTGGGTAAGCATTTAGTCTCCTTTCCACACGTCTCTCCCATCATGCTCTACTCTTTAGGTACAGATCACCTGAAGCATTGTCAGTCCTTTACCCATTATAGTTTCTCAGTTTTCTCTCTAATTTCAGATGTGTTAATTTACCCTTCCCTTTGCCCTCTGCGATTTATCATAGATGGCTTAGAATCATTAAGTTAATTCTGTAATCCTGATTGAGATGTGGTGCAGAGATAGTGGTGATCAGATGTGCTTGTCACAGGTCTAGTCTATTTGGCTTAGAAAGGCAGTCTGGAGGAAGTGGCGCCGTAGCTCAAGTGGTAGAGCGCTCGCCTTGAGTTGAAGAACTGAGGGACAACGCCCAGGCCCAGAGTTCAAGCCCCACGACTGACAAAAAAAAAAAAAAAAAAAAAAAAAACTATATAGAGCACTCAGAAAGGCAGTCTGGAACTAAGGTCTGGTGATGTCCAGTGTAGTGTTAGGTTCACCTCTTGTTTATGTACTTTAGAAGACACGGTCAGCTTCCTTCCCTCCAACCTCTGAAAATCAAGGCGCTTTAGAGCCTACTTTGGAGAGATTTCAGATGTTGTTCTGTCAGGGCTTTCCAACTGTATATGACTAATCTTGTCCTGAAACTGAGTTGATCTCAGGGTTCCAGGCAGATGTGAGGATCAAGATTTGATACTGCTTGTTTGCACTGAGTTCTGATGAAGGCTGTACAACTTGCAAGAAACTGTGTTTTTATAAGTGGGAGGTGTACACAATCATGTCCAGGCAGTAGACTTAATCTGCACTCAGGCATCAAGTCAGATTGAAGCTACCTGGCAGATGCACCTGATGCTGAGGCTCTGCTGTTTCCATGGCAGCCAGTAGCCAATGAGAGTTGCTATGCCTGTTTCTGGGGAGACCAACCAGCCTCCTCCCACTGCCTGATCCTCTAGTTACTGAGATCAGTTTTTTTCCTGCACATGCCTCCACCCTATCTTGCCCAAAATGTTCTCTGGGGCTCTGACCTCCCATTTTCCTGGTTTAAGGTCTGCATTCTAACACCATTATACATAGATACATCTAAAGATGCACAGTCTACTCTAGATCTACTCTAGATTTGACATGTGTATGTCATATACACATGTATGTATGTATATACACCCACCCATCCACACACACTCAGGCACACCCACACCACACACCCACATAAACACACCAAAGCACATAAAAACCTATCACTCATTATACCAATTCATTGGAGCATATTTGGAATCTCCTAATCTCTGGCCCTCCGAAACAGTTGCAAATTTCAACAAAATCCCTAAATTATGCCCTCATTCCATTTATTTATTTAGACTTTTTTTTAGACAGGGTCTCACTATGTATCCCAGGCTGGCTTTGAACTTTCAATACATCTGCCTTATTGGAATTAGGAAGGCATGCATCACTACACCTGGCTTACATCGTGTTTAAAGATCATCCAATATATAAAAATTCAAATGCGTAAGTTGTATAAACCAAGGGCCCATGAATCCTATTACAATTTCTTTTTGTTGTTATCTTTAGAGCTGTGCTATAGATTTCAGTAGTCCTAAGACATGGGTGCTAGTAAACACTTGGAATTTGGATAATCTAAATGGAAATGACATGCTGCAAGTATAAAATATACACTAGATTTCAAAGACTTATTTCAAAAGAATGCAAATTCTCAGTAATGTAATACTGATTGTGAGTTGAAATGGTATTTTGAAAATAGTAGTTTAAATACATTGTTAAATTCATCTCATCTGCTCTTTTTTTCTCTCTCTCTCTTTGTGGGCTGGTACTGGGGTTTTGAACTCAGGGTGTCATGCTTGCCTCATGCCCTTTACCTCTCCTCTCCTAGCCACACCTCCAGCCCTCTTTTCATTTAAAAAAATGTAGCTAGTGGAAAACAAAATTACACATTTGGCTTACATTATATTCTTATTGGTTCTGCAAGGTTCCTGATTCATGGAAATTCAGTCTGATTTACAGAAAGAAAATCTTACTAGCCTCCTCCCCTTAAACCTTTACCACTTGGGTAAAAGAAAACAGAGGAGGTAAACCTGGAGGAGACTAGTTTTTCAGGTGTGTAGTTCAGTTGTCCAATCTAGACCTCCTCAAGGACCAAGGTTGAAATGGGCTGGGGCTGGAACCCATTCAGGAAGGGATTGTTGGGCTCAGGACAGATGCTCTCAACTTGAGGCTTTAAGCCTGGAGGGGCTGTGAGAGGAGGAAGACTGGGGACTTGTCTGTGTTCCAAGAGGTTTCTGGGCCTGCACAATGCAGAGCTCCTTGCTACACCCACATAGATACACATCTCCACACAAAAGACATTGAGACACACAGTCTTACACCACTTCCCTGCAATACCCGGCCACCCACAGTTACACCCACACCCACCTGTAGCCTCAGATATAAACAGCCCATATTCCAAGACTACCACTGCCTGGCCTTAGGCCTACTGTTCCCCACCAAGTCCTAGGCCTGGAGTCTTGGTCCTCCCTTGGACACCCCTCCCCTATCTCTGTACCCTGTACACCAGATGCCCACCTGGCAGCAGCAATTTCCTGGCGCTGGCGGGCTGCACTCACGGCTCGACGGGCACCCTCCACAGCCCTGTCCACTTTCTCCTTGACTTTGCCCCGCCTAAGGGCCAGAGGCAGGAGGCTGCGGACGCGTCCTCCGTGCACCAGGCGATTGCGCTTGTACTTGCCCTCCTCACGCGAGCCGTCGGGGCGGGTGGTGCGCCCGTAGCCATGCCGCCTGTTGCCCAGCCACTCGCCCTCGTAGCGCAGCCCGTTGGAGCGCTGGCTCACTCCGTAGCCACTTCGCCGATCGGCGCGCCATTCCCCGGCGTATACCTCAGTGGCTGAGCCCTCGATGAGGGTGGGTGGCACAGGAACTGGGGGCCCACTGGCCTCGGAGCCTGGGGGTCCTGTGCTGCCCACTTCGCTGCTCACCTCGCTACGCAGGGATCCCCTCTTGCTGCCTAGGGAACTGCGGCGCCCGCCAGCCCTGAGCCCACTGAGCAGCAGAGAGCGGCGGAAGAATCCACCTGCGGCCGGGGTGCGCTTCCGGGAGGACGCCCCGTCGGGGTCCCCGGGCCCAGCCAGCACGAAGCCTCCCCGGGAGCCCGAGGCTGGGCTGCCTCCCTCGTCTCCAGGGAGGGGCAGGGGTGGAGGTGGCGTCGGGGGGTCGCTGTGGCCTGAGTCCAGCGAGGTGCGGCGAGGTGAGCGCAGCAGCGCCGCCTGATGGTAGGGTACACTCTGGCGCACCCCATAACCATGGCGCTTCCCGGCCTGCCACTGGCCCTGGTAGGTGCCTGTCGGTGGATAGGAGTAGGAGGAAGTGTCAGAATCCCTCAAACCCAGCGATCCCCCCCCCCCACAAGCCCAAGTGTCAGGTGGGAGTGGAGCCTGGGAAGGGCCTTGGGAGCTGGGGCCAGGCCAGTCTGGGTTGGAAGGTGTGGGAGAGCCAAGGAGACAGGGAGCAGGAGAAAGGGGGAGGGACAGACAGGCCTGGGTGTGAGAAAGGCCGGAGGCCAGTGTAAGGGACAGGCCGACGGAGGATGTGTATAAAATGGACATAGGACAGGCAAACAGGACCACGAGGTACAGGCTGATGGAGGAGGAAATAGAAGAGAGAGGTCAGGCCAGTAGACAAGGGGAGGTGCGAGGCACAGCTAGATTGGGGAAGGAAGCGCAGGCTGGAGACAGTCGCAGAGGGAGGCCTGAGGGTGGTGCTGGTGGGAGAGATGGGGGCTGAGAAGGGGAGTCTTCATGGAACAGAAAGAGGGGCGCAGAGGGGGCACCGGGCTGGGGAAGGGGCACGTGGGCCGGGCTGGCGGGAGGTTCATGCGGATGAGCAAACCGTAGGGGGCCGCGCCCCGCACCTCCGTCGGAGTAGGTCTCGGTGCCGTAGCCATCCTGGAAGCCGTCCTTCCAGAGCCCGGCGTAGCGCAGGCCGGACACGCTCTCCCACACGCCGCTGCGCCCCTTCAGCCCGCCCAGCCACTCGCCGCGGTACGTCCAGCGGCTCTTGCGCTCCACGCCCAGCCCTTCGCGCTTGCCCTGCTGCCAGTGGCCTTGGTAGCTGTGTCCGCCGGGCCCCGTGAAGACGCCCAGCGACTCGAAGCCGTGCGCCCAGCAGCCGCTGTACTCGCCCTGGGCGCCGGGCCCCGTGCACACGCCGTAGCCATGTGCCCGCCCCGCCTCCCAGCCCCCCACGTAGCAGCCCCCGTCGTCAAAGTCGAACTTGCCCCCGGGGGACATGCATGTAGTTCGCGCGGCCTCAGCCCCCCGGCGGCTCAGCGCATCCTGGGGCTGGAGAGCCGGCTGGGGGCTTGGGGGCCGGGCGCGGCCTGGAGGCGGGGGCAGTTAGACTGGGGCTGGGCGGAGGGGCCCCAGCGCGGGCAGACAGGGCCGGACCCTCATCCTGAGTGGCTGCGGAGAAAAAGGGGAGCAAGTGGAGAGCAAGGCCCCTCCTCTCTGCCCGCCGCTCCCTGGCCGGTAGCTGTGGAGCAGCAGCACCGCCCCCTGGCCCACCCCACCCCCCATTCGGCAGCACCTTCCAGCATCTCCCTTTGGGAAGATGGGGAAACCTCCGCGCCCCCACCCCAATCTTCCCCAACTTGTAGAGGGCTCCTCCCAGGACTTGGGGCCCCAACCCTAGGCAGGAGTCCTACTTTTCCAGCCTAGTGTGGATGGCGGGGGGGGGGGGCTGGGGGGGGGTGGGGGGAGGCTGGGCAGAGTCGGAGGCCACCTGCGTTCTTGTCATTAGTACCCCTCGGCCCTGTTCCTCCGGTTTTCTTAGCAAACGGGGGTGGGGGGGGTGAAGGGAGAAGGTACGGGGAGGCCAGAGCCAGGTGGGTAGATGGCTCTTGGGGAGAGGATGGGGATGGAGGAAGCTCTGTAGGGAGAAAGCCGAGGGTGGGGATGGGCAGCTGGGCAAAAGGGAGGGGGCAGGTTACTCACCATGTGGGCTGGGGCTCAGGCTGCCTCCCAGGCACAGCATCCATGGCTGGATACCTCCACTCCCACCTCACCCGGATCAGCCAAGCCCCCTCCCCTTCCGGAGAGGCTGCTCCAGCCAGAGAAGAACGGCGGAGGAGCGGAGAGAGCCCCCTGTCTTGTCTTCCCAGCTGGAGGAGCAGGCTAGTGGGGTGGGGGGTGAGTGGCGGCAGGGGTGGGGGGAGATGAGAATAGTGTAGGGGGAAAATCTGCCTTGGTTGAAGATAGGGAAGAGGAGCTGGGAGCTGGCTGGGAAGGGGGGAAGGGGCTATCAAGAGGGGAGTGTTTTTATTATTTTTTTCTTCCTTGGTTGGGAGAGGAAAAAAAAAATCAAAATTCCGATTCCATCCCAGCACAAATCAATGTTTGCTCCATCCCAGCATCACGGGGGAGGCTGGGCCAGGCAGATTTAAAGGGGCAGAGAGGAGCGAGGAGAAGTGGGGAGGAGAGTCTGTGGCGATGATGGGGGTGGAGGGGGGAAGTCCAGGTAGAGAAGGAAGGGCTCTTGCTAACCCCGGGGTGAAGGATGAGGCAGGTGGAGAGGAGAAAGAGAGGTACCGAGACCCCCAGTGTGGAAAGAAACCCTAGCATGCGGGCGGGGAGTGGGGTGAGGCAGACGGGAGGGGAGAGGAGCTAGGGGGAGGAGACTGATCTGAAGATGGGGAGGCAGGGGGAGGCCAGAGCCAGGCGGGGGAGGAGAGATGTCGGTGAGGCCGGGAGAGGGCGCGAGGAATACAAAGAAAGAAGTGCAGGGGTGACAGCTAAGAAGGGGAGAGAGACAGCCGGCCTGGGAGACAGGAAGGAGACCCATTCTAGTGCTGATGAAGGATGGCTAGGAGAAGAGAAGCAGGGGAAGAGGACAAGAAACAGATATGGAGGGAGACCTAGGGGCTGAAATAAGGATTGTGATGGGAGGGAGAAATCTCTGCAGGGGAAAGGGAAGGTGCCGGTATAGAAATCCAGTCAGGAGGAGCCCAGATTGAGGCAGGAGGGCCGGAAGTGGTGTTTGTGGAGGACCCTGGGAGAGGAATGAACCTGCCAGCTGCTTGGACAGAAGCCAGGAGGCATCTTAGGGCATTGATGCTTGCTTGTATCCAGTCAACCCACTGCCCTCCCTAAGAAAGCTCTGGAGGGGGACCTCACCCTCTTGTACCTTCCAAGGAAGGTTGAATTGAGGCCCTGACGGGAGCTCACCTTCCTAGCTGTTTCTCCCTCAGTTGTCTGAAGGTGGCCGAAGGGTGTATTGCTTTTGATTAGGGAAGGGGGGATGTATCAAACTTGGTGAAGCCTTGTGTATTTGGAATCTTCACTTTTATAAACATGGAAGCAAAGATACATATCACACACACACACACACACACAAAAGACATATTTGGGCAAGCCCTTAGTGTGACAAAGCCCCTTTCAGCCCACCATCCCTGTGTCCCTATCCAATCTCCAGAGAGGGAGCACATTCAGCCTTAATGGTTACAAACAGAACCTCAGCCTCCTCAGATTGCATCCACTTCTGTCTCTTAACACCTAAGTGTTTGGAAAGGACACTGTTCCATTATGCACAACAGGGTAAGTAGAAAATTGTGCCAGTGCTAGGGCTTGAACTCAGGGCCTCATGTTCTCTCACATGGCTCACTGCCACCTGGCTACCGTTTGAGCCACACCTCTACTTCCCTCTTTTTGCTGGTTAATTGGAGATAAGAGTCTCGGAATCTAAGTCCTTATACCTCAGTCTCCTGAGAGTTGCTAGGATAGTACTCATGAGCCATTTGTGTCTGGCTCAATTGCTTTTATTTTCATATAAGGCCTGTACTTTCCATTACTTGCTCAACACCATCCCTGATTTTATAGAGAAGAGAATTAAGGCCCAGGCCCAGGAGGGGAAGTCATGCACCAGAGGCCACACAGCAGAGCTGGCAGATAGGATTAGAACATTCCAACGTGTGTGTGTGTGTGTGTGTGTGTGTGTGTGTGTATGCGCGCGCACGCGCGTGCTGGGTATTGAATTTAGGGCCTGGGCAAAGCACAGACGATATTACTAACTGACATTCAACTTCAGATTATTTGAGTCCTGTAATATGTCCAAGGATTCCATGTGCTTTGAAGTCTCCCATAGACTCTGGCTCCATTTTGAATACTTTGGTAAAATGAAGAATATAAAGATTGTAATAAACAGGATTTCCCCTGTATTTCCTAAAAAATATGGTGTTTGTCTAAATATTTACATGAGGAGAAACCTGTAGATTTTAAGCCTTTGGAGCATGGATTTTATTTTTCTTTTTTTAAGACAAGGACTTGCCATATAGTCTAGATTGGTTCGGAATTTGTGATTCTCCTTCTTTAGCCTATAGAATGGGGAGATTACAAGCATACACCACTGAGCCTAGCAGAGAACACATATTTTAAGTGATTGGCACAAAACAATGCAACTATGGGTTCCCTTGAGACATGACAATTGGTGGAGCATTCATTCATTCACTTATCAGATGTCTACATAGTTTATTGTATATCAGGTACATGTCCAAGATTTTATTTTATTATTTTATTTTTGTTGGTCATGGGGCCTGAACTCTGGGCCTGGGCGCTGTCCCTCGGCTCTTCAGCTCAAGGCTAGCACTCTACCACTTGAGCCATAGCGCCACTTCCAGCTTTTTCTGCTTATGTGGTGCTGAGGAATCGAACCCAGGGCCTCATGCATGCGAAGCGAGCACTGTACCACTGAGCCACCTTCCCAGCCCCAATGTCCAAGATTTTATAGTAGAGTTTCCTACCTAATAGAGAACATGACCATCAAACAATTCTATTGTGGTTAGTACCACAACAAGTTCATAGGTTGGAACAGAGAATGAGGATGGAACTTAGCTTTCTGTGCTGGCTCCCTGGAAAGAGGCAATCCAGACGAATCCACAAGAGAACTCTGGGGCAAGTCCTATTGCAGAAATATCAGCTCCTTCCTTGTCGACAGAGTGACTTGTCCCTAAGATTCTCCTTCTCTCCCAGAAAAGAGGGAAAACATGAAAAGAAAAATCAACATATGGGTCTGGAAGACCATGTCCTATATGGTTATCTGTTTGTTTTTTGAGACAACATTTTGCTATGTGGCCCAGGCTGACTTCAACTTGCTCTGTATTTTCTGAGTGCTTGGATTACAAGCATTCAACACTATGCCCAGCCTGGAAGTTGGGATGTAGTTCCTTGTTTATAGGGTGATTCTATATTGTACACTGAGCTGCAAGTTAAGGTTCAGGGTTCGATGAAGTTATAAAGTAATCTTGAAGAAGAGTAACCTGGAAACTGGTGCCAGTGGCTCATAACTGTAACCTTAGCTACTTAGGAGGCTGGGATATCAGGATGACAATTTAAAGACAGCCTGGGCAGGAAAGTCTGTAAGACTCTTATCTTCAGTTAACTAGGAAATAGCCCGATATGGAGCTATGGCTCAAATGGTTGAGAGACAAGCCTTGAGTGGAAAGAGCTAAAGGAAAGAGCCCTGGCCCTGAGGCCAAGCCCCAGTAGCAGAAAAGTAAAAATAAAAAAGAATACCCTGGAATGTATGGACCACAGTCCCAGGCCCTCAGATCTTTCTGTGGACTGGATGTCCTTTTCTCCTCTGTTCTAACAAGTCCCCCAGTCCTATTTGTCACAGTAGGGACACTTTTTACCCTCAGAGTGATCAGTTTGCTTTGCCACAATTTATCAATGGTCAAGTGTCACAGAGAAGGGAACTAATGTAGATGAAGCAGCCCTGTGCTTGGAGCCAGATGCAGTGTTTGGCACTCTTATTTGTATGACCTCATCCAATCCTTTCACTAACGCTGTAGCTGAGCAATCTAGGCTAGAGGCCAAAAGCTGGACTTCCAAAGATGAACAATCCTGAGCATATTATCTAGTTTTTCTGAGCTTGTGTATCTCCAAAATACGAGTAACATAACTGACTCCGAGGATTGAAATGGTTGTGTATGAACAGTACTATGATAATACATGGAGGGAAACCACCTGGCATTGTGTTCAGTCCATGTAAATGTCAAGAAAATAGTGGCCTGAAAAATAGCTTGGCATGATTCCAATTTTTGTTGTTGTTGTTGGCCATGGGGCTTGAACTCTGGGCCTGGGCGCTGTCCCTGAGCTCTTCAGCTCAAAGCGAGCACTCTACCACTTGAGCCATAGCACCATTTCCAGTTTTCTGGTGGTTGATTGGAAATAAGAGTCTCACAGACTTTCCTGCCTGGGCTGGCTCTGAACTCAGATCTCAGCCTCCTGAGTAGTTAGGAT